ATACTTAGAGTTTAATCACTTCATCCAAACAAATGTTAGAAAGTACACTTACGTTATCATCATTTTCCACAGGTGAATAACACACATTTCATTCAACCATTTGCATATAAATTGTCTTACCGATCAGCTTGAACCCTCACCACGCTTCAGCTGCGTAATGTCGTTGTTTTAATCCCATCGCAGTTCATTTTACTTATGTTGCACAATTTTCCTTTTTTATTTTATCTACCAAGCCATGTTTTATGTCACACCCCAACCCCGCCCCTAAAAGTTTGGGCATGACCTAATCGGAAACAGACATTAAATCTGATATACATACATATGGGGCCTGAACGGAAGCATTAAATATTATAAAATAACATGAAATAAAAAGAAACTACATCCATTAAGCGACCACTATCATGCCAGGATCACAAATAGTGAATCAGATGATAAATATTTACATACACATATACAACCCCGCCCCCTATTTGGGCGTATAACAAAAACTTTAGAAACTTCAACATATGATAGACAAACAAAGTATAAGCCAAAACTTAGCAAACTTCACAAAAACGGGTAGGCTTCACCCAAATGCTTGGACACACAGAGGTTGACAAAGGGAGACAAGCATCGAGGGTTATGGCTGACCTCCAGATTTATTACCTACAGAATCAGACAAAATGCAGAGTGAGACAATCTCAGTGAATAATAGTACTTTAATAACTCAATGTTCAACTTGAATTACAATGCAGAGCAATGCATATATAATGTAAAAGACAGATAGTTAATCTGATTCTGTACTAATGTCAGAACGCCCTTAGGCCCCTTTTTAACTAAAATGGCTTTAAGCCCTTGAACATAGTGGCATTGAGCCCTTTAACAGAACGACATTATGCCCTTATTAGAATGGCATTACAGCCCTTATCAGAATGGCATGAACTCAAGAGGTGGCTCGCATAGCAGCACTTTGTTTCACACCAATAGATCATACAGAGTGGCCATCGGCCTAGATGTCACAAATTGGCCATAGGCCTCATAAATGTTACCAAACGGCTATAAGCCTCATACCCTTCACAGTATAGCTTTAGGCCTCATAACTTTCACATCGGCTTTAAACCCGGTTCACATATGTATGGACTCAAGAGGTGGCTCGTACGGATTCTAGAGGTGACTCACATTGCAGCACTTAGTTCCGTACAACACTTTGTTCCATACCGGAAATCATTAAGTCTTAAAAACTGATCAATTCATATCATAGCATAACATAGCATAAACGGAACGGATAAATATTATGCTTGAGTCAAAAACAGAAATCAGAGTTTATGGAAAAACATAACCCACTCGTACAAGACCGTCGGTGATACCATCCGTACAAGACCGTCGATGGCAAGAGATAACTTGTAACATACTTGAACCATGGTATTATTACCCCCGGGCAAGGGCCTTGTGCTAAGGATGGCATGTATACTAATATATATATATGTGTGGACTATCATTCGTTGATTCAAAATGTAACATATCAGAAAATAGAACATTTCTTGTCATGTCATGTCATTACGATACACTTAACAAAGACAGAACAGTTTACATTTACCATTTCTTCCTATTAACTAATTCCACCGTATGAACTCTCAGATACAGGACACAGTACAACCATTCTCTTAAAACACATCACTCTTGTTTTTGTATAACGCAGGACATTCTTTAGCATAACGAATCCAGTTAGATTTTTCTTTAAACTACCCTAACGTTAATAAGTCGTATACCATTCTCATGCAAAGCCATAGGTAATTTATAGATTATGGCACATTATCGATAATCATTAATCATAACCAGAGTGCATATTATTTTCAGAGTCATACCGATGTAAACGAGTCTTTCAACGTTCCCATTCATTCGCACCGATTGCCAATTAACATAAATGTGAACATAATTACTTGCAAAGAACAAAGTGTTGAGCATAAAAATCATTAACAGTAAGTAAATGTACAATCTTCGTACTACTACTCACAGTGTTCAGGTGCTTGGTCCGCCCCTGGAGTTGACCCTACACAATTCACGTAATTCAAACATAATTCATCATAGTACAACACTATTCAATTCAATATTAGTCAACACAACATATTCCAACAAAGTCAACACCACTTAGTTCATTAACACCATTTGCAATTCAACATAATTCAAAATAAACCCTTGAATCTCATTTCAACATTCCAAAACCGAGTTCATATCATCCATGTCAGTCATAGATTATTTCCCCAATTTTCGCTTCACATTATAGCATGAATTACAATGCTCATAACATAGTTCATTCACAAATTTTTAATCATAATTTTCAAACATTTCTAAATTCCAATTAAACTTGAACACGTATAATTCAATACCTCAATTTGATTATTCTACTTTCAATTTGGGCCAAATCATTGGTTATCATCATTAACCAACCTAGGGTTTTATAGAAAATTGGGGGTTTTCCTCTTTTCTTAGTTAAATCTTTAAATCAACAATTACTATTTATCAATTTGCTAAAAACATTCAACATCCTTTGAAAATTGGAGTGGAAACCCCATTTGTAAGTAAAAAACAAGCCATTAATGTTTCTAACCCATAATCAACTCAAAATTCCAAAATGTCAACAAAATCCCAAAGTGGCAACAAAATCACTTTGAATCATAAACATTCAAGGCTAAGAGAACCCCCTACCTCAAGATTGGAAGCAAAGAAGCTAGATCGAAAGCGTCCTCTCGAAAATCTCAACATCTAATCAGTTGGAAAAGTTGATCTTCACTTCTTCTTCATCCTTGATGCACGATCCATGGTGGATTGTTAGTGAGAATGGATGAAATCAAAGGTATGAGGGTTAGGTTTTCGGACCTAGGAAGAGAGGAAGGAAGAGGGAAGAATAAAATATAAGAAATGATCCAAAAATCCCGTTTTTATGCTGCTGTGCTCGCGAAACCCGCTCGAGCGTCCCTATTCACGCTCGAGCGTACCTGCTCCCAGCATAAATTCCAAAACTTCAAACAGGTATAACTCTCCTATCCGGACTCCATTTTAGGTCGTTTTTATGTCCAAATTGAAGCCCCGAAAATAAGCTTTCCAATGGTTCTAACCTCACATTCAAATTCAAAGTGTGGAAAAAGAAAAGGGCAAATGAGTGACAGCTGATCGTAGAATAACTATCCGGATTATATTCTTTGGTCCAATCTTACTTTACCATCATACCACCACCTCAATCAATACCCCAAAATAAGATAAGAAAATTCCAAATACACTAATAAGAATGTCAAAAATGAGCCCAGGTGCCTCAGAAGTTCAAACTTAACTAGGCGGCCCGTTCGAGCGCCCAACCTTGCGCTTGAGCGCAGAGACCAACAAAGCCGTCTACTCGAGTGACCATTTCTATGCTCGAGCGGAAAATTACCACTCCCAGAATTTCAACTCGCCAGCAAAATTACTGGAAACCCCAAAAGTCCGCTCGAGCACCAACTTGCCCCGCTCGAGCAGAGGGAAAAATTTCAGATCGTTACAGTAAAGGTCGTCAATTCCAGTTTTAAAGTCATAACTCAACAGATAGTTCTTCAATTCCAATAGATATAATTGAATTAAAACACGTTAGCCCCTACTTCCTCTACGTATTTTGGGGTCATTACATTATGTGTTCCAAATGAGCCCGACATAAAAAGGGAGATATTAGATGAGGCCCATAACTCACCTTGTATAATGCATCTGGGGAGTACAAAGATGTATCGAAATTTAAGAGAACGTTATTGGTGGTTTAATATGAAGAGAGAGATAGCAGAATTTGCATCTAGGTGTTTGGTATGTCAGCAGATTAAAATAGAGCATAAATGCCCAGCCGGTTTACTTCAATCTCTTCCTATAATTGAATGGAAATGGGAGGATATCACCATGGATTTTGTTTCGGGCCTGCCTCGCACACAAAAGGGGCATGATTCTATTTGGGTGGTTGTAGATAGGTTCACCAAATCTGCACACTTTTTGGCTACTAAGAAAAACTTTTCACTTGATCGAATAGCAAAACTTTATGTGGATGAAATTGTGAGATTACATGGTGTGTCGGTAACTATTGTTTCAGACAGAGACTCACGCTTCACATCCCACTTTTGGCCTAGTCTTCAAAATGCTTTGGGTACTAAATTGAGATTCAATACAGCTTTTCACCCCCAAACCGACGGGCAATCCAGTAGGACAATCCAAACTTTAGAAGACATGTTGAGAGCTTGTGTTCTAGATTTTTGAGGTAGTTGGGACGAACACTTGACATTAATAGAATTTACATATAATAATAGTTATCAATCAAGTATTAGAATGGCTCCCTATGAAGCTTTATACGGGTGAAGGTGTAGAACTCCAGTGTGATGGGATAAGATTGGAGAGAGGAAATTGTTAGGGCCAGAGATTGTTCAAATTACTACTGATAAAGTGCATATTATTTGAGAAAGGTTGAAGGCGGCTCAAAGTAGACAAAAGAGCTATGCAGATAATCGGAGGAGGGATTTGGAATTTCAAGTTAGAGATCATGTATTTTTACGAATCTCACCATAGAAGGGAGTGATGTGATTTGGTAAGAAAGGCAAACTAAGTCCAAGGTATATTGGGCCATTTGAGATCCTAGAGCGCATTGGCAAGACAACTTATCGTTTGGCTTTACCACCTAGTCTATCTCGCATTCATAATGTGTTTCATGTATCCATACTGAAGAAGTACATGCCTGACCCATCACACGTGTTAGATTTCCAACCAATCCAACTCAAGGATGATTTGTCTTATGAAGAGGAAGCCACAGAGATTGTGGACAGGAAGGATCAAGTACTACGTTCTAAGACTATACCACTAGTAAAAGTATTATGGAAAAATCATGCTTTGGAGGAAGCTACTTGGGAATGGGAGGATGATATGAAAATTCGATAGCCACATCTTTTTTATGAACTAGACTAAATAAATAAATAAATTTTGTGGACAAAATTTCCTTTAGGGGGGTAGAATTATAATATTCCCAACATTCCTCTAGAACCAAACACACTCCTAAGTTAAACTCCACTTAGGATATCAAAACCCAACTCCACACTTGATAGTAGTTGTGACCAAACATCCCATTTCAGCTAAAATAAAAATGCAGATTTTTTTTTTCTTCATTGTCTTCATTCTTCTCTCTTTAACTTCTCTCTACATTCTCTCTCATTTTCCTTTACTTTCTTGGTGGCCAAACACCCCACCTTTGCTCCATCCTTACACCACCACCTTAACCCACCATCTCCACCACCGCCGACCATCTTATCTTGCCGAAAAAAAGGCTTGGTTGGCCACTCCTTCACTCTATCCGAAAATAGCACAATAGAAGTACCAACTCTAGATTTTTCTTAATCTTTTGAAGAATCAAAGCTTGGGGTTTATTTTCTTGATGGATTAGAGGCTTTTAATTAGTAAGAATCTTTCCTTAAAAAGTTAGCGTAAGGTTTCACATATTTTGAGTTAGAGATAATGATTTTTTTATTTTATTTTATACCTATTATGATTTGGGGTTTGATTGTTGAGTTTTATACTCTGAATTAGTTTCTTTGACTGTCTTGCATGTAGAAAAATGATCAATTTGATGGTTGTTTCGGAGATTGAGATTTGAGTTAATCTAGGGTTTGAATGTGATGCAAAAATTGGGGATTTTGGTGTTAGAAAATTTACATGTTGAAATTGATTTGATAAATGGTGGATTGGGTATCTTTATGTTCTATAAATGATTTTGGAGGAATTTTATGAATGATTGAAGTGGTTTTACCTAAGTTGTTGAGTTTATGAAAATGTTGATTTTTGACTTTTGTGGTTTGATTGATGGTGGCATTGAGCATACAAATTGGTTGGATATTTAAAAAGTTAATAACTCAAAAATGTGCAAAAGTTGGGTGTTGTGGAGATTGGATAAGTTTTTTGTTTCGGTGACTTGAAGTCGGAGGAGTTCTTTAGCTTGGTTTTAGCTCTCATTCCATAGCATGTCTTATTTAGAATCAATTTTGTAGATGTTGTAATATTCATTGAAAGCTTTTCCCTAATTTTAGATCTTATTTACTACTTGTTAGGATTAGAGGAAGGCGTCTCTACACCTCTTGGGAATTAACTCGTAGAGTTTCAAATCTACGCTTTTGCTATTTTGGAGGTGAGTATACTTAACATGGAAATTTACCTTATCTCTATCTTTAATACAAAGTTTAAAAATAATTTAAATTAACGGAAGTGGATGACACATTTTATCATGATATATGTATAGAAAGAAAATTTATAAATTTATTGAGGTCAAAAGGGTTGAGTTTATACATAATGTTTTCATTAATTGAGCACTACTGCTCACCCAATCAAAAGATCGGTCTTTACTAAACCGCGATATGAATTTTATTTACTTTATATGTTAATATTTCGATTATTTAATAAATCCAAAAAATTACTATGTGAAGCATACAAGTACAGTCTATGTCATTTATTTTGGAATAATTTGATTTCATGTATTTTGAAAGAGTTTTGAAGATGCACAACTCAAAGAAATTGAGTCTACAGTCATGAAAACCAACATCATTTCAAATTAAGCGACACAACCCCCATCCACTGACATTCATAGAGTTATATCACATAAGCAAATAGCCTCATGGTATAATGCTAAACGTAGTAAGAAAAACACATACAAACGGGATGCTAAAGCATAAAAACTTACATGTTTGACGTCCCGCGAACAAGCTACAAAACAAAGTTGGTAAATCACGCATGATCTTATATACAAAATCCTAATCCAATTCACTCATGAGATGCAACTAAAGATTCGGCTTCTAGGATATGACATGTGAATCATCTAAAGAATATGAGGTAACGTACATAATCACATAGGAATTGATTAAATCCACAAATGCAAAATTAGCCGAATCAAGATGCATGAAATATGAATGCAAAGCAAGGATATACTAAAAAAATAAAAATAAAATAAACATGACGCATATCCGCAAATAAGGAAAGCAAGTAAAAGAACAGATAGAAAGAAGTGAGGTGGGAAATTATTACAACACTTTAAATAAATTATTATAGACCAAATGAGAGAGAGAGAAAGAGGAGAGAATATTGCAATAAAATAAAATAAAACCTCACAAAACACTCAAAATAAAAATAAACAAAATAAAAGCTTCATGTTCCTTGGAACCGTCAGCGAAAATTGGTCAACATTGGGAGATTACGCCATCTTGTCTGAAAGAAGCTAACCGACCGACCAAATAGGCCAGTTGACAAACTAGGCCAAGCAAAACCTATTTTGTTGCGAAACCAAGAAAAAGGAACAAACAAGAAATATGTAGGTGACTCAACTAAACATTACCAGTTAGCTTACAACACAATTAATATGAAACAAGAGCAAGCAAATAATAATAATAACCTAAACAAACCACTTGGATTACAACAACACACTATGAAATATAAAGTATGAAAGTAAATATGAGATAAACAAACCACTTAGATTATAACAAAACACTATGACATATAAAGTAAGAAAATAAATATGAGATAAACAATCCACTTGGATTATAACAAAACACTATGAAATAGAAGTAAGAAAATAAATATGAGATAGAAAATATAAGAAAATAAAAAATTAGAAATTCACCTTCCAAAGAAAGATTGGACTTCTTGATTTCGAAACTTCCTCTTGATCACCCTCAAGTTTAGGAAGTGTGTTCTCAATCCTCAATTCAAAACTAAAATTTGAGCTTGGAATGATGGTTTTGAACAAGGGTATGATCACTCTTTTCTTGGAAAAAATACTATCTTTTTGATTAAGGCTTTGAGTGGTTTTGACAAGGGAAGATAAGATCACTATAACAAAACTGACTTTTTACGGCACCACATCAATGGCATATAATAAATGCACACCGTAGTTTCTCACTTTTGCGACTTGCTTTTTTTGCACGTTGTAAATACTCTTCCAACCACGGCGTATCTATTGCGTAGGCCGTGAATGGTAATAACAATGATTTTTTTACGGCTTGCAATGCACGCCGTAAATAATAAAACTTTCTACGACGTGCATATAGCGTGCCGTTAATACATTAATTATACATGACGCACATACACCACTTTTCATGGCTCATACAACGCCCACCGTTAAAAGTATTACATTTTTTATGATGCACACATCGTCTGCCGTTAAAAGTATTATTTTTTTATGACGTGCAATGCATGTCGTAAATTGTATGAAAAAAAAAAGAAAGCGCCAAAATGAAATTTGGGGCGCCAATTTTTTTTTCGCCAAATAACTATACCCAGCTGACTCCGTTCCCATGTTTCTTTTTTCAAACTCATTCTTTGTTCACATCTTCCTCTTATAATCTCTTCCATTTCTCATGCGAATCGATCGAATCCCAAATCTCGCTGGGCCTTTCTTGCTAGGTGTGCTCTTCTCAAATCTCTCAGCTATTTCATCTATCTCTTCCCATCTCATAGGTATATGTATCGTCAAAGAAAGCATGGAAGCGAGAAGGAATGGGATAACTAGGCATTTCAAAGCTTAACCCTAATTCCATCCAATTTTCTTACAAATTCAAAGGTGAACAACCTTTTTCTCAAAACTTTAGGCTTTATGCTTTGTTTGAATTTGAAACCCTAATGAAACACGTATATTTACTTTTTTTTATCCGTCTATTAGGTAAAACAAAAATGAAGAGCATCTCGACTATGAAGAAGAGGAAGAGAAAGTCCCTGAATCCATCACCACCAAAGTCAGTTTTCTTTGCATTGAGGTAATTATTTATTATTATTATTTTTTTACGCTTTAAGGGTTTAGTTTGTGGATTTAACATGTACCATGTCTTATTTTTCAATTGAGTGTGTGTGTGTGTGTGTGTGTGTGTGTGTTTTTTTTTTTAATTTGTTTATTATTATTTTCGTTTCTATTGTTGGAATGCAACAAATGCAAGTAATAATTTTTAATAATCCTTTCCATCTGAAGGTCTGAAAGGTTTAAATTTGGACACAACAATTAGTTTATTAAGGTTATGGTAATTTTCTTTGTGTTTAATCTTACCATCCTTCAAAGTTGCACACCATGTATTTGAAAATTTGTTCCAGTCATGAGATATAGAAAATTATAGCCACGTGTGATTGTGAAATTGGTAGGTAGATGTCCTTAAATGTGAATTCAATCAGTGAAATTTCTTGGTCTTTTTTTACAGTCTCTTAGACTATGCAAGAAAGTTGGATGTATAACATATTATGATTCTTTGGTTATATGGTAGCAGCAGGTGGAGTTTAGAGCCTATGGCTATGGTTGTAAAGTGCTTTGACAGCTTATGAAACTATCCAAATGAGGAGGAGGACGAATCCAATTTGGAAAGTAATTCAATCAATTTTTGTTTCTTTCTTTTTCCCTTTTCTTCAGTTTGTTTTGAATTTTTTGGATGGGCTTTTAATTGATGACTCTGAACAATCTTTTTTGTTGTTTTTATTATCAATTTTAGCTCTGGTTTCCCTCCCTTCTTCTGTAAAAAATAAAAACTGGTGTTTTGTTTTGTTTTGGTTTTCTATTATTTTAGTTGGTTCCCCTGTAGTTCAAGTTAAGGTCATTTGTGGACACTTTGCTCAAGATTACAAAGTTAATTATAGTTTTTTTATCAACCCAAATTTACATTCCTTTGTGAATTTATTTGGTGGTGGTGTTATTGTTATCTTGTCTTTTGTATTCATCATGTTCATACCTTCCTTTGCTCTATGATTGAATTAATTTAATTCATAAGTACTTGTTCAAGGGCTTGCAGGCTTTGGATGCATTTTTTTTCTTTTCAACAGAGTAATTTAGTTTGTCGGGGGCTTGGTATTTGAGGATGGAGAAATAGATTTTGTCTCCTTTTCATTCAATGCATTACCCAATAGTACCCTCAGTTTCTCTGTTGAGCAATTCTGCTTGATTTTTGCAGTATGCTCATTACAGATGCATACAAAGATGGTGTAACAAGAAAGGTGACACTGTGTGTGAGATATGTCACCAGGTGGGTTAATTTCGTTTCAATTATGCTTTTAATCTTATGAATGTGTTTTTTCTTTTTATAAAACTGTTTTGAGTTTGCATTGGGAACTATATCTTTATACAATTGTTTCCTCTGTCAAATTGGAAAAAAATTTCAATAGAGTCTTTGTTCAGTTTTTGCTAGTTTATTTATTGCCAAATGTATGTTCATTGCAGCCATTCAAACCAGGCTATACAACACCTCCTCCTATGTTTCAACTTGGGAGTATTCCAATGAACTTTAGGTATTTTAGTGATTCAAGTTTCTTTTTTTTTTGTTTTTAATATTTTATTTTCATAAGTTTTTTTTAGATTTAGTCTGTGATTCAAATGTTTTTATCAGAAAAAATTGGGAGATCTCCAGAAGGGACCTAAATAACCCTTGCTTTATAGCTATGGTGACAACTGAGCCTAATTTTGTTGATCAAGACTATGATGAGTATGGTGGGACCTAAATAACCTTTGCTTTATAGCTATGGTGACAACTGAGCCTAATTTTGTTGATCAGGACTATGATGAGTATGCAGCTTTTGAATCAAGAAGCCTGTTTTACTGTCATTCTGTTGCTGCAATTGTGATTAATCTCTCTCTCTTTTTCTCTCTCTATTTATCTCTGGGTGTGTGAGCGCTTGTGTATATTCTGTTCATAGCAATATCTAAAGCAGGGAAATATGTCTCCTTGGCTACTTGATTTTGACGCTAGCATTTTGACAGCTTCTCTCATTTCTTGTCTGCAGTTCATGGTTCTTTTGATCTTACGGCATACTCTTCCCATATTAGTTAATGGAGCACAGGACAACACTTTCCCATTGTTCTTGGTAAGATAATACTTAGTTCATATTGACACACACACACACACACACAAAGTAGAATATTGACAGTTATGAGGCTCATTGTGATATAAAACTCACTCTGTTACATTCTATGGCAGCTTTTTACGAACTACTGGAATTATTGTGCCAATATACATTATGGTGAAGACAGTGAATGCCATCAAATATTGCCAATGCCAACGAGTGAGTACATAGTTTTTTTATATTACAGTAGTACCCTTTCTCACCTTCTCGCCAATTAGGTTTCGTTTAGTTGTCAAGAATTTTGTATAAGAAAGTTGTTCCCAAAAAAAAGTGTAATAAAGGAAAAGGGAATTTTTTTATTTTATTTTATTTTTTTTGTGTTTTGGATTGAAAATCCCAAAATATTTCGGAAAGGAAATGACATTTTAAAAACTGCATTTTGTCAAGAATTTTGTATGAGAAAGTTGTTCCCAAAAAAAGTGTAGTAAAGGAAAAGGGAACTTTTTTTTCAGTTATGGATTGAAAATCTCAAAATATTTCGGAAAGGAAATGACATTTTAAAAACTGCATTTTTTCACTTCAATTAATGAAACTAATAAAAGTCACAATCTATTGAATATGGCTTCTGCTAAATGCTAATAGCGAGAGCTTAAACTACTTTCTCCTTTTCATCTTCCCTGGAGAGTAGATAGAGTGGTTTTATGGGTTTGTATTGCAATTTAAATATTTACTTGTCTGGTGTTCGACTAGACTGTGCACTATTGTTTTGTGCCTTTATGGTACAACAGTAGCACTTTAAATCTTTTGGGCTTCTATTTCTATGGCTACGAAAATTTTGGCAGACAAGTGTTCCAGTTAGATATTTATTTCTCGGTAGTGATGTGAGTTTAGGGTGCATTACGAAGAAAGTGGTGAAGAAAGCTCAGAGATGGAATCGGTGTACGCATTGAAGTGCCACATATCACATGAAGTGAACCATTTACATGAGGGCTTAAGCATGCAAGTGCTATTGCTAAACTGATAGTATTATTTCTTTTTTGGTAAATCCTTGGTTTTTACATTGTTCTTGACCTGATTAACTCTTGCTACTTGTGTCTGAGTTTGAGTTCTGGTGCTTGTGAGATGGACTCCCCCTCTCTCCAACTTGACGATGTCTCTTTCTTAGCAATCGTAATTATTACAGCTTTAAAAACTTTCATAATTTATTAATTTCAATGGAGTTACCCTAGAGCTGACTAGTTTCTTTGCTAGTTATTGCAGGATATAATTTTAAGTTCATAACACCTTAAAGGGGAACTTAAAATAAAAAATTTTAAAATTATGACATGTTTTGCATTCACGGGAGTTTTATGTTGGAAGTACACACATGATTTTTACTAAACTAATTGTTTTGAAGTGAAATTGCTATGGTTATATTCTAAAATTCTGTTTAAAGAAACTTAGTTTAAGCCATTAAAATTTTCTAGAAGATGCTGCTTATGATTAGGTAAGTTTACATTAATGATATTTGTTTTGGCCTTTTATGATAAATTATTTAGTTTGTCTTCTTGTATCATCATTAAACTGTCAAGTACCAATAAATCCTCAAATAGAAAAATAACTTATTTGAACCTGGACAGATTTTCAAGTTGTAGTTCCATGAAATAGCAAAGAGAAATAGATGCCCCTAAGTTGGTGGCTTAACAAGATTTTGGCTAAATTTATTTTGCAAAAATGACAGCACAATCAACTTTAAAATAATATTAAGGGTGGGCATCACCTAAGCCTGGACTATGCTAGGAAAAAATTAAAAATCTTGTGCCAAGCCCACCCATTAGGCCTATAATTTACCCAATAAAATGAAATCAAACAAAATGTGTCAGCTAACACCCTTTGAGCTACAAGAAATAAATAAAGAAAATTTAATTGGAATAGCCATTTCTTTTTTAAAATAAGAGAATCTGATAACCAATCATTTCTAATGGAAATACATGAGTTCCATTGAGGGATTCCTCTTCCATCCCTTTCTTCCTTATTCTTTTTCCTTCTGTCGTTAGTAGGTAATCTCCAATTCTTGAGATTCTCCATCCAAATGAAATAAACAAACCTGTAAACATCTTGTCAATTAATTTATAACATATGCTTTTTAGCAAGGTGAATCTACTTGGGTTTGAAACAATTTTGTTAACAATATATATTTGCGTATGTGCATACGCCTAAGTGTATAAATGTCCATCCATGTTACACATTACAGTTTTGATTGTCAATACAATGATAATTACATAGAGACCAATTCATTCTTGCACAGATCCAGGATCATGTGAGATGTTTAGGATCAATAAAGATGTGTGATTATGGATGAATTGAAGGTAGCTTGACGAGGCATCCTTCTGGCTGTCGTATGGTTATTTTGGGCCTTCTGGCTGCTGTATGGATGATCTAGCAAGTTTTTTTTTCTTCTTTTTGTTCTTAGAAGCTTCCAACCAACCATACAACTTTCGGTTAATACCTTCCTATATTATGTTTAGCTCCTGCCAGGAGCTATTGATGAACAAAAGGGGTTAAAAAAAGAAAAGAAAATGTTATTTCAAATCTGCCTCCTTAGAAGAACATATTGATGAAGAAGATATTCTTTAAGCAATACTATATCCTATAATAAGGTTATTTATGTAATGGTTGGCACTGCTTTAAGGGTGAATTTTTAGGAATTGTTGGTTTGATTATGCTCCACAAAGTTGTTACTCTGACCTTGTAAGGATTGGTTAGAATAGAGATGTTAGTGGCTAATATTGTCAGTATTAGTAAAGTGATTGTTCTCTTGACTCTCCTCAATTCCCTATTAAATTGTAGGATAAAGCAACATCGTATGAAAGCCTTTCGGTCATCTTGTATAGAATTAATTTGAACCCTAGTAGTGTAGACAACGGGACAAGACCTCATTGTCCCTCAGGAAGATTTTCTCTTTTTTGCTTCATTAGTTCAGGGAAGCTTCTTTCCAATTAGTTTCATTTTTCTGTAATTTGATTGCAATTTGTGTTTATCTTTCACTAAATCAGGTTCTGTGATTTGTAATTAGAAATTTTCTTTTTATGATGTATGTACATGTATAGACAAGATCATCAAGATTGATATATAACGAATTAAGCACCAATGCTAGTGCATTTATCTTCAGTGCTGACGTATTCTTGTTATTGTGGGACTTGATTTTCTCATCAATTCCATTACCGATCTATCTTACAATTTGTGTTCTGACGGAATTGCTTTAAACTTTGTGGCAGGTGCATGGTTTGCCTTGCCAAATATCACAGGGCAGATATATTGCGTACCCTTCCTTTTTGTGGGCACTCCTTTCATCTAGCCTGCATAAACAAATGGCTGCAACAACACTCAAAATGCCCAGTTTGTACAATTTCATTGCACCAGTTTCCTGAGAAAGATTGCATGCCACCAATGTTCAGTTCAGCTGTCCAATCTCATTATGGCATGGAGTCCCTTAATAGTTGTTGATATATTTAGAAAGTTAGATATGCATGGTTTTGGATGGTTTAAATTTTTTGTATAGTTTAGAACTTTAGGATATAGTTTTCGAATGTTTGGAATGTATAGACAATTATTGAATATTTATAATTTATGGATATAGTTTCTTTTTGTTGTTTCAAAAAATATTTTGGTAGTTGATTGATGTTTTGTGATGCCTGTTTGTAATATTTGTTAGATTGTACAAAATTGGTCAAATAGAACCTGCTGAATTTAAAAATAAAATAAAATAAAATAACTACATATTCTACGGCAGCCATAATAAGTCGTTATATTACATATTTTATGGCGCGCAATTAGTGTTGTTATTTGTCTCACCAATTAACGGGATGCAAAAGTAGTCGTAGAAAAAGTAACAATGACACACAAAATCTGTCGTTAAATAGTTTTTAACGGCGTACTCTAACATGTCGTAGAAAAAGTAACGACGACGCATAAAATATGTCGTTAAATAGTTTTTAACGGCGTATGAAGCATGTCGTTGAAAGTGAATGACTTTCCATGACTGGTCATAATATGACGTGTGCCTGCACGTCGTAGAGAGGTTTTTACGACGTGCATTGCGCGCCGTAAAAACCCTTTTTTGTTGTAGTGAATGTAAGAGTTATGTAACTTAACTAGTTTAGCAAGATAACTCTCTTGTTTTTAAGGCTTTCTTTTCTTTCAAATTCTAACACAATTTTAGCATTCTCTCCCTAAACTTCTCTTCTTCAAAATTCATCTCCAAATTCAAGACTAGAGCTCTCATTATATAGCCAATGCAAGTGGGCAATGGTGGAAGACAAGGTAGAGGACAAAGTGGAAGACAAAGTACAAGATAAAGTGGAAGACAAATTGGAGCATTTTTGGAAAGACAAAGGAGTTAATGCGGGACAATGTATAATGGAGGTGAATGATGAATGATGATGGTGGTGTGTGATTATGAAAGTAGATAATGAGTTGGGATGGTGGGGTGTGATTATGAAAGTAGATGGTGAGTGGATATAGTGGAATGTGATTATGAAACTAGATGGTGAGTGGGGATGATGGGGTGTAATTATGAAAGTGGATGGTGAGTGGAGATGGTAGGGTGTGATTATGAAAGTAGATGATGAGTAGGGATGGTGGGGTGTGATTATGAAAGTGAATGGTGAGTGGGGATG